TATTCGTCTAGTTTTTTTCCTTGAAAATCAGTTCTTTGGAACTCGCTTCCTTCTTCTTGCTTTCCTCATTCATAATTTGCTATCTTTTAAGTTGTCTGTCAATCGTTATCTTGCTCTATAAACTTCATCTTTTCTCTTCCAGTAACTTCCAACTCAAATAGTTGTTGCTTACAGCTTTGTTGGAAGCCAAGATGTTGAAGAAAAAAATTATATATATATATATATATATATATATATATATATATATATATATATATATATATATATATATATATATATATATATATATATATATAATATAAAGTGACAGGACCCTAGACCTGGTTAAAAATAAGACCTTTTGCAAACCCTGCCCCAGCACTGGCAAAATTATAAGATTTAGCAGAGATTGATAGCTGGGGCTAGAAAAAAATTTACAATACTTTATATATTACAATTATATGCTTACATTTACTATTTATTAAATACTGGTATATATTTATATATATATATATATATATATATATATATATATATATATATATATATATATATATATATATATATATATATATATATATATATATACTTTAAAGTAGAGGATTGGATTTAAAAGCTAGGAAAAGGTTAACTAAAGACTTAAAAAGTTGTAGACTGTATAAAAAAGGAAAATATAAAGATGGATGAGACTTATGAGGTTTTTGTAATGTGCAAAGAAAAAAACATGATTAATAAAAGTTTTTATAGCATGAAGGGAAAAATACAGCAAAAGGATGAAACTTGTTGAATAAAAAGCCTTGCAAGAATGAGTTTTAATTTATGATAGCTCATTTGAGAATTGAGCATGATAGTATTTATAAAAAAAAAGAAAGAAATGTAAACTTACAGCAATGGTAGAATGGCTGTATTTAGACCTGCTTTATCTGCCTACTTAGCAGATAAAGCAGGTCTAATTACATTTACAATGTGCTTTTAGTGTTTGTCTGAGAGTAAAAAGGTTGTTATTTGTTAATAAAGAAATGCCAACAATAATGCAATATTTTTTGCAGAAAATAAATGTATTTTGTTGTCTAACAAAAATTGAGGATTTTAAGTCCAGACTTGAAATCCTCAGGCTACTACAAGTATTAGGCTGTAAAAGAAGAGAGATCAGGTTAAAACTTGTCTGATTGTTCTAAGCAAGCAAAAAGTCAAGGCTTTTGTCAATACAGGAACATAAAGTTGAGTCGTTAGCAAAAATACTCACTTTAGATAAAAAATTTTCATGAAGATTGTTCTGTATCCTTTCTTATCTTCTAGATAAGAAACAATACAGGAGCAATAGTAGAACCTTGCAGTACTCATAAAATTACTCAAAGTGAAGAAGAGCGTAGGCCTTCAAGAATAACTTTAATACTGCAATTAGAAAGAAATGATTTAATCATCTCAAAAAATTTATATAAAGAAACTAACAACAGAGAGAAGAATAATTGTAGAGTAGTTGGAGAGACTTATTTAGCCACTTATTTAAATGTCTTGCGGTTTCACCAATATATAAAAGATTTTCTTGCAAGAAGTTTAAAAAGTTTTAAACAAAAATTATTTTGTATTTTACTATTAGTAAATATTAATTTTATTAGAACATATTTGCAATATTTAATAACAAATTTTTTAATTTTTATTTTAGTATAATTAGAATAAGTTTCAATGAATGGAAACATGAAATATCCAAAAAAATTTAAAAGAATAAAAAAATAGAGTTATAGAGCAAAGAAACAGTTGACAGAAGACTTGAAGAGTTATAAGTTGTATGAGTCAGGAAAACTTGAAGATTAGAGAGAGTTCCAAAAGATTAAAGTATGGGAAAAAAAACTAGATAAGTAAAAGTTTTTAGAGCATGCAGGGATAGATAAAGTAAATGAATGAGACTTTGAATGAAAAAATTATTGACAAGAAAATGAACCTATCTATTTCTACCATGGCTAAAAACTCAAATTTAAGATATTTCAGCTTATATTTTATTTTAAGATATTTATTGGAACTTATTCTAATTATACTGAAATGAAAATTAAAAAATATTTATAAAATGTAATTATATATATATATATATATATATATATATATATATATATATATATATATATATATATATATACACATCGTCTACCTTTTAAAGTTATGAATAAAAAAAATAATATTTAATTCAACTTTATAAAATTTTAAATGCTTTGGTATTTGTTGCGCAAATGGCTATTATTCAGTGGTTCTGATATTAGTATCTGAAGTGAGTATTCTAAATAATGTTTAGAATACTTGCTTAAAATGTATTGATTAATTACAATTGGTATAAAAAGTTTTAAAAATATTTAAAATCAGACTTTAAAGTATGTGGAATAATGAACTTACCATGACCCGTATAATACAGGTCATGGTAAGTTTTTTCACATTTACCATTTCTGTACTTATTCTTTATATAGTTGTTTATTTAAATTTTTTTTAGTAAATGTAGTAAATAAAAATCTTTTAAATCTTTGTTTTGAGTTAACAATTAATGGTCTATACTTTATAACTTCTTATTGTAAAATTGTAAACTTCTATAAAAAAACTGGGTACAGACTTATTCATTTTTTTTCTTTATCAACTTTTTAATATTTTTTTCCAGACCATCCCCAGGACCATCCCATCCTTAACTAATTTTGAAAAAAATTAAAGTTTAAATGTAAAATCTTGTTTCCTTTTGAAAAAAGTTGTCACTTTAATGTATGATAAATACACAGACTTAACTAATTACCTAAGCACATTAATAACATATCTCAAAATGAATAATATCATTGTTTGAAGCTACCCATTTTTTATTATACATTTTTATAATGTTTTTACACTCACAATCTTTTAATTTAATATCTTCTGAAGCTAAGAGTGTTAATACTGATAAAAAATTGATTTATCATTAGGAACTAGTTTGTTTTGTCTTATAAGTGTGTGAATCTCACCAATTTTCATATTATAACTAAAACAAAACACAAAAATTTTTTTTTGTTCAAACAGTACAATGTGCTTGAATTGTATTGGAGAAAAAATAACACATATTTTTGTTTGGGTGAATAAAAAACATTTTAAATAAGTATTTTGATTTAATACAAATAATACAACTTAAAACTCATACTTTTAAAATGTCAAATAAACTTAAAAGGAGAAATTAAGGGCAACATATAGAGTTCTAATAGGTTATAGATATGTTGCATTTTTTTGCTTAAGCACTCAATATAGGTTCTCGTAGGTTCCCTAATTTATCTAACACTTTTTATACAAAATAAAAGTATTAAATGATATATACTTACCTTGTTATTATAAATCCAGTTTATATATGTGTTACAAATGTTGATCTTTTCTTCATATTATTTTCGTAAAGTTATATTATCAAAAAGTTAAAATACAAAAACCAATTGCGCAGAAATGTATTTTTTTTTAAAGTTACTGTTTACTAAAGTTAAGCATAAAAATGAAAAAATTTACGCTTTTTTGTAAAAATAAAGTAATTTATAATATATGGAATCGCAATTGATTTTCATGGTTTTTAAAGATACTATTATACTCAAATAAATTTTTTAATAACACAATAGTGTATAAAGACTATGTTTTATTATATGGTTTTTGAAATAATATGACTTCATTTTTGAGGGCCACCACCTGGCCCACTATGTGCTATTTTGATGTTTATAGAAATTTTAGGCTTTTTTAAACATTCTCTCACCATGGCAATATGCTTCAGAAATGCTGTGCTTTGACCACTAAGACATATTGTTTGCAGAATGTATTAACACTATTTAATAAACAAAAGACTAAAATGGCAATTAAATGTAATAAGGGAGGTCAGGGGAATGGTGGCCCTTTAAGGTATTTTGCCATTTTTAGAGTTGTATATTATAAAGTACTTTATTGACAAATACGTACAAAAATAATTAAAGTGTTATTACAAGAAAAAAATTAAACAAAATGACCAGTATTACCCCATAACTTTGGGGCAATTGTGGCAGCCTGGTCAGCATTAACCTAATTCTTTTGTAGAATATCAATAATGAAAACAAGAATAATAGTTATTAAAAATAAGTTTTATAAGAGTTTAAGAGAATAAGTTTATGAGTTTAAGAATTAATAAAAATAAGTAGTACAATATTACTATTAAATACAATAGTCACAAATATAATTATTGTTTTTATGGAGATCTGTACAGTCTTTGTAGGCCCAGTCACCACATACAGCACAGTTTACCCAACATTCTCAGATTTTACCAAATTCCCCACAAACCAAACAAATATCTGAAGAATTTTCTATTTTCTTACCATTTTATACAGTCATGATTGTGCCGTATAAAATCATAACCCCAAAATGAATCAATTTTTATTAACAAAAATAAAAACATATTTGCAAATAAGAAGATACTTACATTATATATATTTAAAAACTAGAATAATTATATTTCTTATTATAGGTGCTACTTAGTCAACAACTTTAACATTTATATACTTAATAGCACAATAAATTTTTTAAAAAATAATTCTTTTATTTTCTAATACGTAGATGACAGTTGACAACATAAGTCAACTAGCACCACTTATGTAGGAAAAACCAAGAACTAGGAACAATTATTAGTTTTTCTAGTAGAACATAGGTACCAATGCAGATAAAAAATCTCACTTAAATTACACAAATATAAAAATATCATATGTCCATAATTCCATAATTCAGAGGCCATCAATCCTCTGACCTCCTTTAAATAAAAAAAAAATCATTGTAGTCGCAATGCAATTTTCATCTAAAAGTAAATTTTAAAAAATTTATATAATTTTTAACATTATAAAATTTGAACTTTGCATTAGTTAGATATTTGCATAGACTTTTGTTCACATTTTCTTATAAAAAAAAGTTCTGCAACTCTTTCTTGCCATTAACTCAGTTATGATGGCTGCGTGAGTTCCGTGTCAAACACGCACAATTGAGTAAGGGCAGCATTAATACTTTATGATTTAATAAAAACTCACCATCAACAAAAAAAGAAGCCCCTTCTTCAGTAACAGAACCAAAGAGGTTCATTGGAAGTTTGTGTACAACAGGATTTTCACTGAATGAACAACCATACATCATCAATCGCTGACACATCAATAAATCCTGGTCTTGACAAAGTATATGCAAAAGATTACGATTTACTTTTCCTTTATCTTCGTCAAGATTAAGATATGATGAGTCACCTTCCATGACCAAACTAAACATCAAGCATAATTTCAATAGATGATATAAACCAGAAGGAGCAATTGATTCTAAAATAGAATATTAAACAGATTAGTAAGGACAAAAAGATTAAAAAGTCTAGATCAAATCAAAAGTGTAAAATAAACATGAATAAAAAAAATGAAGTTTAAAAATCATACTTAATAATAGAAAAACAAAGTTTATAAAACTATGATTTTTTTATTAAACACCTGCAAAACAAAAGGCAAGACTCAAGACAAAACTCCATGGCGAGCATTTTCTGTCTAATATAAAAAGTAATCATGTATAGCAAATTATGTAATATGTAATAATTATGTAAATTATAAAATTATGCAAATATTTTATTTAAATTAAATTTATTAAACAGCATAAATTTTATTTATCTATTTTTATTTTTTGTATTTAGGTGACACAAAATTTGATTTGAATTGATACAAAAGTTTTACTTAAATTTATTTGTAAATAGATTTATTATTTTTAAAACAGACACATAATAAATATTAACATATTACCATTTTTATTTTACTTTTTTTTTTACTTTAATATAATTTGATATACTTAAATGTGATACATTTATTTTATTTTAGTTTTAAATTTAAAAAAATCGTATTTTTAGGTTTTTAGGAAGCATTTTTGACGAATTGGCGCAACCAGAACATACATATTCAAATTCTTTATTTTTCATAATATACGAACCTAAATAACTTTAAATAATAATTACTTTGCATTTAAATAATACTTGTTTTTGTTTTTGACATGTTAAAAATACAAAGTTTGTGATTTATTGAATATATTTTCAGCATCATACTAACATAGGGCTGTTTGTGCTACAGACTAAGGCTGCCATCAGTGGCGCACAGACTTTATGGTGTTCAGGGTAGATCATTAAAAATTTACTAGATGCTTCCCCCCTAACCACTGCTAAAATAAAAAATAAGAAGAATAATAAAGCAATTCTAGTATTTTTTATCCCCTAATGATGCACCATAGGCTTGCTGACCGGGGAAACCAATCCGGATCTCCTGCCTTCTCTGTGCCCCTGGCTGCCGTAATTTAAAAGTTTGTTACTAATAATTTTTACAGAGCCACGAGCAATTTCCTTAGGAAAATCAGTTGTAAAAGTATCTTCAATCAACAATTAATGATTACAAAACAATTCCTTTGGAGATTAATTTTGCACAAGGAGTTGTCACATGACTTGAAAAAAAGCTGTTCTCTTTCTTATCAATCTTAAAAATTGATAAAAAACATTACAGAAGTGAATAGAAGATATTTCTATAACTAAAACTTGTGCAGAACAGCAGGTTGCATTTTTTGTAATTCTAATTCAATTTTATTAATTTAAAAGTTATATTTAACAAATAATTTATTGTTTATAACCTTTTATTTCATAAGTTTATAATAAAATAAAAATGAGAATAAAAAAAAGAGAGAGACTTCCAACTACAACACCAATAATAAAGCAGTCTTTGAAAGCTCAAGAAATCTATACACATACAAAAAAATTCTTTGTAAGAAGCACACTGAGATGACAAGCAACCAGTTACCCTTCATATAGCATGCAATTCAGCACTATAGCACTATCTGTTTCTTAAAGAGAAATGTCTGTCTAAAGCTCTTTCAGTTTTAGTTTCCTGCACTTTAGATGGTTTTTCATCTGTGAGATTTCTGTTGCTGCTGCTTTTATGGTAAATATATCCTTTTATGGTAAATATATCCTTTTATAGTAAATATATCCTTTTATGGTAAATATATCCTTTTATGGTAAATATATCCTTTTATGGTAAATGTTCCTTAATTGTTTTCTATTAGGCCTAGAAGTTAATTTCTGTGTTTTTTGTTGTCGTTCTACTTTGTCAAAATAAAAATGTTTTTATGTAATGAATTTAATTTAAAATGTTCTCTGTATTATCAGTGTTCTATCAATATATGACTTTCCCCATATAAGGTTATAAGTATGTTGTTTTTAGATTAAAAGCTGTCAACTTTCGTGACAGAAAAACGTAATTTGCGGGAAGCTCTTCTTTTCTTCTCAATCTCAAGAAGAAAGCCATTGATGCGCACCAAATGGTTGCCCAAGCTTACGGCAATGCTTCTCCATTCATAAGAACCTGCCAAGAATGGTTTAAGCGTTTCAAATTGGGCGATTTTGATGTCAAGGATAAAGATCGGACAAAACAGCCAAAAAAATTTGAAGACAAACAACTTCAAACTTTATTAGATAAAGATTCGGTTCAAACACAGGAGCAACTTGCAGCATCTCTTGGCGTCACGCAAAATGCCATTTCTCTTTGATTGAAAGTAATGGGGAAGATTCAGAAGGAAGGAATATGGGTGCCCATGAGCTGTCTGAACGCAATAAAGAGCAGAGAAAAATAACTTCACAAATCTTGCTGGACAGATTCTAAAGAAAGTTATTTTTGCACCGCATCATAACTGGCAATGAAAAATGGATGTATTACAACAATCTGAAGCAAAGAAAATCTTGGGTTAGTCCAGGTAGATCAACAACTTCGACCACAAAACCAAATATCCACGGGAAGAAGGTCTTACTGTGCATATGGTGAGATCAAGGCGACATACTGTACTATGAGCTTCTTCAACCTGGCAAACAGTCACTACAAATCACTATCAACATCAATTAGCGCAGTTGCGCCATGAAATCACAGAAAAGAGACCAGAATGGGTGGATCAACACAACAAACTTATACGGCTTTATGATAATATAAGGCCGCATGTCGCAAAAGCGGTAAAAGACACAATAAAGAGTTCAAATGGGAAGTCTTACCACACCCACCATACTCACTGGACATCTTCCCATCGGTTTATCACCTTTTATGATCAATGGCTCATGGTCTAGCGGAGCAGCGCTTTCAAGATCGTCAAGACATCGAAAAATAGCTTGATGAATGGATGGCTGCCAAACGAGAAAAATTTTATTATGATTGAATCCATAAATTGCACAAACTTTAAGAAAATGTAGTTATTAATGAAGGAAATTATTTTGAATAAAATTATTTTATTAGTTTGGCTAGTTTCACGTAGTTTAAAAAGTGTAAAAAAACGCGGAAATTAACTTCTAGACCTAATAAATCTGATAAACATTCCCCATGTAACAATTTAATGTTGTATTAAATGTTGCATGGAAATACATTAAAGTTTATACTAAAAATAAATTATAGTAAAAAAATAAATTTTTAGGATAAAAGGTTTTATTGGTCAATGCCATTATGTTAAAACTAAACCTGCTGCTAAGGTAGTTTCGACGTCTTGGAAGAGTCATACTTGGAATCTTGATCCAGCATTGATTGCAATGGCCTTACTTTCAAAGGAAAGCGATCATGTTGACGAGATGGAGAAGATGGTTAAGGTTCTCATGGATATTGGTAGGAAGAGTACTGATGAGTTTAAGTATAACAGAATCAAGGCTGTGATGCCCTTAGAAGAAGTTTATTTTAAGCATAAGAAGAACCTGCCTCCATTGCACACATTTATTACTGTTGAATCATGGATCATCTTTAATATTTTAGAACTTACAGATCAGTGTGTTTGGTTGACAATTCCCCAGAAGTATTGGAAGAACTTTCTTAGTTATCTGAAGTTTCAAACATGATCAGTGTGTTTGGTTTAAATCAAGAAAACCAACTCCCAGAACTAAAAAGAGATATAAAGAATCTGCCAATACATCTTCAGCTAAATTGACTTCTAATTTCAGTGTTTCTTCTTTATCAACCAGTACTGTTTCTAATTCTGCTTCTTATCAGGTATTTTAAAAAAAGTTGATTGAAAAATATATTCAATATTTGTTAAGAAAAAGTTATAGCTTGGTAAAACTATGAGTTGATAACTTAATAAACTTATTTTTTAAGGAATTTGAGGTGATGTAAAAATATTTTACTTTCTATATATACTTTTTTATAATAAAATATTTCAATAAGGCTATTTAAAGTTAAAACTTGTCACAAAGCTCTCTGATAAGTTTTGATTGAACAAATCCGCTCTCTCTAGAGAGAATAGATTTTTTTTCAATCTGTGCTTTAATAGGTGTAGTGTCTAGCCCATAGACATTAGCTCACACACTATAAAACTGTCTACTGTTTTACTGTCTACTGTCTAATGTTTGAACTAACTTCCAGACATGGAGGACACTCCAAACATTTATATATTCATGTTTATGTTAAATAAAGATATTTTGAAAAAAATTGCGTTGATTGGAGCATGAGAACAAAATAAAACTAAATTTTGGTACTCCCTGCTCTTAGTGTGAGAGCAACAAGTTTACAAGATGTTTTTTTTACAAGTATTAACTAAATGTAAATTTATTTATTAATGTAAAATTTCATATTTCGTGCAATAATCTTTTAGTGTTTGAAAATTATGACGATATAAAGTTTTATTGGCCTTCAATTTGAGGGGGTATTAAATTTTGGAGGGTCATAAAAACCAAACACTAAAAGGTTATTGCACGAAATTTGAATTTAGCTAGTAATAGTAAAATAAATATTTTGTAAACTTGTTGCTCTCACATTAAGAGCGCAAGAGAGTGTCTACGCCCCTGTTAAAGTCTCCACTTAAAAATATTTATATACTTAAATATTTATATATTTAAAGGAAATTCTTTTAACTCTTAATTGCAACAAACTGCAGTGCAAGTTATATATATTAATTAAAGCTTTAAAATGCATTATAAACTAGATTTTAATTTTTTTAACCTATTGGAACATATCCTGCCAAAAATAAAAAAAATAAAAAATAAATTAGTACGATGATGTGATCACTTCCCACCACTTAAATAATAATAAAAAAAAAAAAACAGTAACAATTTTCTCTAGTGGCCACTCATTATCCTTAATGACCCAAGATATATTTAAACAATCTTTTTTAGTCCAGGCATATACATTTATTTTTACCATAATCTGTCAACTTTAAAAAAAATTAAAAAAAAAAAAAAGATGTATGAAATTACTAGAAAATATATACCATTATAAAGTAAAGAAATGGCATCTGATGGTATATATTTAAACTTTACACTTGAGCAAGGATCCTTGAAAAAAAAAAATAACAATAATTAAAATAAAAATTTAAATAAAAAAACTAATTTTTAAAAGCTCTTTACCTCTATAGTTAAAGCTTCAAACGTCACTTGTATGCATTGGTTTTGCATAAAACCTGGCCGCACATCAAATTTAAAAAATCCAATAAACCAATAATACTCCCCAATTTTTATCTTTTTGGATAACTCATCTAAAATATTTTTTTAGCTTAAAAATGATTTTAATAAGATAACTTTATTTTTATTTTTTATTTTTTTTAAATAGAATAAAATTAGAATAAACCAAGTTAATAAATATATAAAATAAAAAAGGTGCATCTTAATAAACTTCTAATTATTTTAAATGTGCAATTAATTCAAATTTAAATATTAAATAATTCAAAAATGGCAGTAATCTAAAAAAAGTTAGACCTCTCACTACAACTTTAATAGATTGTGAACGACCAAATGTATTTGATTGCAGACATTTTGTTGATGATACAGGCACACCAAAACAATAAAGTTTTTCTAAAAACCAAAAAGTTATATGCATAGATGCAAAAAAAATTTAACTTGAATATTGAAGTTGTTTTTTGATTTGCAATAATTTTAAGACTAGTGTTAGCAATCCCAGATCCTAGGATCCCAAAATCCCTTCTAATTTTATAACTCTGAATTCCCGGGATTATTTTTAAAATAGCCTGGCATTTAGAAATTGAAAAACTACAATTAATACCTGCATTTACCAATTAATAACTGTGTTTCAATTGCATCAAATAAAGCAAAAGTAACAACAAATCAATAAAACAATACAATGTTTTCAGTATTGATTTATAAGTTTAAAGTAAATTTAATCAATCTTATATATTATGACAATTACTGACGCATTCATTAGGAAATAGTATCAAATTAATTTTAATTATTAAAACTAAATTATAATAATAATATAAATAATAAAAATAATAATAACAATAACAATAATAACAACAATAATGGGAAAAAAATTAAAAACTTATTTGTATTGATTTTTATTGTGCTTTTGTAATAATAGAGTGTTATTTAAATTTATTGAACTTTAAAAATTTAACGTAATAAGAAAGTTAAAATAGTTAATAAATTTTTATACTTTTTTTGATTCACCAAATTAGGATACCATGTCAAATTTCATAGAGTTCAACAGCAAAACCCCTATATGGAAACATTTTCTGTGCAATAAAGAAAGTGAAACAGGAATTTGTAAATTACTTCAGCTTACAAATTGCTGTTTCTAGTCAGTTAAAAAAGGTTAAAAGCAGAACTGCACGCTCTCCATGTTCAGAAAAAGAAGCGCATAGTAAAATAAGTAAAATTAGTTCATAGTTTTTATCATATTATTTATAAATAAAGAAGACAGCTTGTCTGAGATGCTTGCAAGATTAACAGCTAAAGATGGGATTTCTTTTAACATAGTATGCACTTCTATTGATATACATGCTGGGCTGGCTATGAGGCGATTTGTCAACATACCTAAATCTATAAACACTGTTAAAAAATGGTACTAGATTTCTCTAACAATATAAAGAATCTTATAAGAAATGAACGAAAAATCTTATAAAAAAAGACGAAAAATTAACAGTGGAACCAAGTTTTCAATTTCTTTTGATGAGTGAACGTCAATTCAAAATACCTGTTATTCGAATATCAATTTGTATGATAGAGACAATTTTTGGAATTTAGGTTTAGTAAGGATTGTAGGGACAGTGTCAACTTAAAAGTGTGTAATTTTACTTAAAGAAAATCTCTCTGCGTTTGGCTTAAATCTTTAAAATAGTATTGTATGCATAATGACAGACAGAGCCAGTGTAATAAAAAAAATTAGAAAAATATTACAGATTAATTAAAAATTATGCTTTGCTCACAGTATTCAAGGGGCTTTTATTTCTGTTTTATATAATACGCCAGCATCAAACTGTACACAGAGACATTTAGTCAAGTAAGTTGATTATCACTTTGAAAATTTGGAAAATCTGGATTTAGTGAAAGCAATGATAGTGATGAGAGTTGCAATGATGATGGTGATAGAGATGATGATGGTGATGAGAGTTGCTTTATAGTGGATAATCAAATAAATGAAAATGTAATAATTACAAACAAAGCCATTGGTCCTGTGAATAATAAAGTTAGAAAAATCGTGATGGTTTTTAAAAGATCATTAACTAAAAATGATGACTGTCTTCAAAAATTTGTAAAAAATGATTTTGGAAAAAACCTTCATTTAATCAAAGATTGTAAAAAAAGAGGAAGCAGCTTGAAAGGTTTCATAAGTTAAAAAATTGCATAAAACGCTTGTTGATATCAGTACTAATGTTTATATAAAAATATCAGACAATAAGTATGAAATTGTTTCTGAACTAGTCAATGTGTTAATTCCAGTAAAAGTAGCAGTGGAAGCACTTTGTCAACGTGATGCTAATCTTATAACTGCTGACATCGCATTAGAGCTTATGCTAACTAAATTAAAAACTGAATACTACAACAAGTTGTCAACTTTTTAATGCATTAGCCTGCAGAATCAAAGAGCAAAGGACTGAGTTAAGTAGTCTACTGCACTATCTACATTATGGAAAAAACAAATTAATGCATGTAGGTGAAGTTTTTGAAACATCTTTAAATTTAAAAATGAAAAAATAATGTTGAAGCTTCTAAATAGATTAAATGTAATTGTAAGTGTAATAGATTAAATGTAACAAATTTAAATCACCCTACAAATTCTTTGGACATTGTTGAAGATAAAGTAAGTGAAGAAGACGATGAAATACCGAAAAGCGCAGTTAATTAAATGCCGAAAACTATTAGTAAGCAACTAAAGGAAGCCCAAAAAAAGGTTTTTTAGCAACACCAAGAAATTTTTTGTCAAGATTAAATGAAACTCCTACTTCTTATTTATCAAAAAAAATCTTCAGAAAGTTTATAATTTTATTAATAACGATTAAACCAACGAGTGTAGAGTCAGAAAGGGCATTTTCCTCCGCAGGATTCTTTTGAAATAAAGTAAGAAGTCACATTAGTGAAAATAATTTAGATAGCTTGAGCTTTCTGCTAGAATTTTTTTTTAAAGACAAAATAAATAACTTTATGTATAAGTTTTATTCACTTTACTGCAATGTAATTAATTAAATTATGACTTTTATTTTAGTTTTAAAGCATAAAATAATGCCAGGATTTCCTGGGAAATTCCAGAAATTAATTATACTTGAATCTTTTAATCTTGAATCCCAGGAATAAAAAAAAATCCGGGTTTTTGCAAACCCTGATTAAAACTTTTTTTAGTCCTAGTTTTAAATTTTAACAAATTAAAAATTTGTTAACAATTTTTTTTTTAACAATTTTTTTATATTCAAAAATACCAGATGTTATTCTCTGTGAGAAATCTTCTTCCATCAATAAACCACAAATTTGACAACAAAGATCACTTCTATGCATTAAAAAAAAAAAAAAAAAAAAAAAAAATTGAATAATAAAAACAAGTTTTACTTTATATACATATACAAAAAAATTAAAAGAAAGAACATTAAAAACATACAATAAAGCATATTTTTGTACCTAATCAAATCTGATTCAACACTATCCAAACTTGCTGTTAAAACAAAGTCTGAACATGAGCAATTAGAGCACTTGTACTTTGTTGACAAACTGAAAGTATTTATAAACTATGAATAGTAATTATAAATAAATGTAAAGAAGTAATGGTAATTTTATTAATTTAAAAAAAAAATTGAACTTGAAAAAAATTTAAAAATTATGTAAAAAACCTCTATATAAAATTTTATATAAACATTTTATATAAACTTTTATATAAAATATTTACATAAAATTTGAAAGATTAAAAAATTTTAGAAAACAATTTAACAATTGTCATCCTCTACTTGTCTCTTCTTGAATGTGAGCATGCAAAAATCAAAACAAACATTCTTTATAAGATTCCAAAAATTATAAAAAATCAAAAAACTATTCTTTTAAGACTTACGTGTAAGAAACTGAAGATGATATACCGATAACTAAAGTTCTTAATCTGAACAGTCTACCAGAAGTTAATTTGTGATTTTGAAAATCACTGGAGTGCATAATTTCATGTCTATACATAAAAAAATACAAATATATAAAAATTAATAATTGAAGCAGGACTTTAGCATAATTAAAAGCAACCATAGGTAGAATCATCATCATCATCATTATCACCACCATCATCATCATCATCATCATCATCATCATCATCATCATCATCATCATCATCATCATCATCATCATCATCATCATCATCATCATCATCATCATCATCATCATCATCATCATCATCATCATCATCATCATCATCATGATCATCATCATCACGATCATCATCATCACCATCAACATCATCATCATCACGATCATCATCATCACCATCAACATCATCATCATCATCACCATCATTATCAATCATTATCATAACTTTTTTGTGTGAAAATAAAGAAAATAGAAATAGAAATCCAAAACATTTTCATTTATTTCCCATTTATTTTAGCACCCTATTTTCAGAATAAATAGTCCAGATTTATGAAAATGTTTATTCATTGTTCTAAAAATAAAGTAGTATAGCTCATGTACATATATTTACTGAAGGGTGAAAGAAAACCATGCCAGAGGTTCAAACAGAACACAAATACACATTTAGGAACTTACAAATGAATAAAAACCGTGCAAAAGTTTCAGACAGAACACAAATATACATATGTAGTAAATTACAGGTGAGCTAGCACAGTAACTAAGATAACTCCAACTACACAATAGACAAAAGTAGATACCATTATAGACATGACAGATGTTAGATAGTATTAATGACAGGAAGCACACTTCTTCTAGCCAATGCTTAGAAAGTGAATCCTACAAGGCAGCACGACATGAAACAAGTAGCAATGGATTGCATGTTACAAGTAGCAGGGAGGTCATGATAATTAAAGTTTTAAATTAAAGCAATTAAGAATAAACTGAATAATTCTATATTATATCAAAAACATTATAGAAACATTTTTAATATAACAATACATAAATATATTTAAAGAAATATAAAAATACATACAGGGTTCCCACCTGATAAAAAAATTGAAATTCCAGCACTTTCAAGGACATTTTTTTTGTTTTTCAAGGACATTTGCTTTATTAATTCCAGGACTTTTCCAGGACTTTTAATAAAAAATTTATAAAATCCAGGACTTTTTTATAGATATCCCAAAATAACAAAAAATACGCTACTAAATGTAAATTAATATAGAAACCAAATGTAAATAAAAGAAATACATTACAGCTTCACAAATATAGCTACATCACTACAGCTACATAACTAAGTGTTAATTTAAAAAACATTTGACAAGGAACTATTTTTTATTTGAAAAGAAACTTTTAATGCAATTAATTTCAAAAACATCAGAATCATTTCAAAAACTCATAATATAAATACCGTTTTAGCAAAACAACAAAACAAAAACTACAACTTTACTCAGCAACTGTCCAAAAATATGCTTTAAAATTAAGCAGTGAAATTATCATTTTCATGAACCACCTTTTTTTCTATATTGTACAAATCCTCGATTTCCTTTTGTTTTTCTTGACAGGGTTTCTTTTTTTCATTTTATTCTTTTAAAAGAACAAAACTACTTTGCTTTTCTGCATTTATGGCTAGTATATCAGACTGTTCTATCAAAGTAGTTATTTCACTTTGCAAGATTCTGCACTTTGCTCTATCTACCTTTTTCTCATCATCCAAAATTTTTCGTTTTAAATTTCTACTGTTACAATCTTTTTGTTCTCTTTGTGATTGCAAATACTCTTTATATCGACTACTTGCTTGTTTTACATTTTGCAGCATTTCTTTATTAATTTTGATACTTCAAAGGATTCTTCAAAGGAAGATAAATGATCTTCAATAAGGCGTAAGGCAATAATGAATTTTTCTTTAAGATTTTCAACAAGAAGTTGTTTATTAATACTAAAGCCACGCTCCATGGATGATTGTTTATGTAAAAGCACAAAAATCATTTTAAAAACACTCCAAACATCTTGATAAGCTTTATTTGCTCCAATAAAGTCAGAAAAAAAAAGATCAAGACTATTGTTTTTAATATCAAAATCTTGAAATGATTTTCGATTTGAGTCTACTATTTCTAAAAATTTAAAATATTGATTTTTTGCTAGTTCGGCAGACTTTGGTGACAAACGGCCATATTTAACTAATCTATGCAACAGAATTGAAAAATTATTGATACAAGTATTCCTTTTATTCGGATTTGAAATGAAAATTGGGTTAATAGAGCATGCATTGCGTACTATAAAAAACTTCAAAGGGGACTTCTCAAGGAGATGTGTCAACAGACCAGCTAAAAACTGGCCTGCCTCTTTTTTAAATATAACCACTCTTTGGTCACTTCCTATTAACTTAAATTAGCTTCATCAAGTTTTAACCAAGCAGCAAAACAATTTCATTTATAGACTTTCTAATATTTTTATCCATTAAATTTATTTGAAGCTGCTGGTATAGATTGCTACACTTATTTAAAACGTCTTTTAGTATGATTCTCCTGAGAAAATTGTCAACTCTTTCACCAAGTATAATATTATTTAAAACACCTTTTAGTATGATTCTCCTGAGAAAATTGTCAACTATTTCTTTAAGTATAATAGCCATAAATGGAACCATAGGTTTTTCTGTTTGAAAGCATCTTAAAAAATATTCAACTTTTCAGAAACCATCTCAAAAAATTTAAGTTTAGCTGGAAAAACAGGATCATGAATCATGGCTTTCAGTCTATCAGCTTTTATTTTTTGAATCAGGTTTTAAACTTTTCTTAAAACTACTGAAACATATTACAAACTTTTTGTACCCATCAAGTAGTGATTCAACCTTTTGAGCACATTTTTCATTTTCACACCACCTATGCCAACAAAACTGCATCAAATAATAAAGTGTCATAGTGACGTTTTCATAGGCTGCTCTTCTACTAGGAGAGTCATGTAGAAATTGTCATATTGCTTTTAATAGATTATTAAGCTCCCAGCCACTTGCTTTTGCCCAGACTTTAAAACTGCCATGAATAATATGGAGACCACTACCTATAAGTTCCAATATCTATAAGAGGATCAAGTTCTTCCTCTTTCCTCTGCTCTTTTAAATTATGTAGAAAAAGCAAATTTACATTTGGTCCATCTGATGGCACTTGTAGAATCTTTGATTCATCTATATCAGAAATACAGTTCAGGAATGTTTGACTAACATTATGTGCTGTTGAGCGTCCCATGAATTCTGAATTAAGATAACATGTTTTAACCATACTTGTATTGTTATCCCAAAATCTTACTAAAAGGTCCATTCGACCCTTCTGAAAAACTTGGTTCATGGATTCATCAAATGAAACAGCGTAATAAGGTGTATTAGATAGGGAAGTGAGCAACTCATTTTTAAAAAAGGGAGTGCTGCAATATAACTGCAATATAACTGGCCTGCAATATAACTGGCCTGCAATATAACTAAATGCTGCAATATAACTGGCCTTGGTGGGTCTACATTGAAACAACTTAGCAATGTCACTATCTGGAAACATTTTACTAAAGAATTTACCAGAATCAGTTTAAGAATTCATTGAATATTTAGAATACACAATATTAAGGACCCAACCAATTTCAGCTTCAAGTGTTGATGTATTTATTAGCATTTTATTAATTATTTTTTGGTGTTCTACTTTATTTGAGCATTCTGACATATAATCATTTACTTGAACATTGTTAGGAGCAGTTGGCATCAACGACTTGATATTGTTAGCAGAAGGAGATTTCTCTAGGTATTTTTTACATTTTATGTGTGAAGTTAAAGCAGCTTCTCCCATGTTAGCAATATTAATGTCTTTAGCACAATAACTGCAAATCACAACAGTTTCTGTTTTTATGTAACCAATGTTAATATTTTTCTTCAACAAGCCATTTTTACTTGAAAAATTTATTTATTTTTAGGCATTTTATAAGTATTTTATCTGAAAAAAAACATAAACATTTTAGAAGCCAAAAAGAATTAAGAATCTATAAAATTTCATACTTTTAAAAATTATTCAAAACTATACAACAATGCAATGTCTGTCTTATAATTATAATTTATGGAAACTATGATGATTTCTTTCAAATAATATTTTTAAAACAACTTAACTATGCCTTATTGTGGATGTGAAACAACTTATTGTGGATGTGAAACAACTTATTGTGGATGTGAAAGTTTTTTAAAGAATCTTCAAAGTACAAATTTCAAAAACAATATAAGAATCAGATTTCCCTTTAAAAATTATACATTTGAGCAATTATATTACTATAATTTACTATAATTTGTATTGTAGTTGTATTGTTTTTCTTTATTTAAAAACAAACAACAAAATATTATCCCATTTTCCAGGCCTATTCTTTCTTTTTCTCTCAAACTTTTAATGATTTTTATCTTCTTCAACTTCTTACTATTATTGTTATTATTGTAATTATTATAACTATTATTATTATTAATAATAAAATTATTAATTATATACATGAAGTTCTGTATTTTTAGTGTTTAATTAAGATTAGTAGAATTATTATTTTTAAATACCCATGAAAACATTATATAATTGATTGATTGCAACTTAATGATAAGTATTTTTTAAACTTTTTGTACCAAATTTAAGATTTATTATTCTGTATTTCTACGTTTTTTTTAGTCTTCAAATTATGACTAAGCTAAGTTAAAACACAATATATTTCTAACAACACTTAAAAACTATAAATTAAGAAAATAATAAAGTAAATAACCATACTCATCAGTAGCTGGAAGATTTATAAAAATTGGAGTTATTATAAGCTGATGAATAGACTGCAACTTTAATAACAAACTTTCTGCATTAAGCAAACTAAAACAAACCTAATAAAAAAACAAACAAAAAAAAACACTAACCATTAACTGTTTGATCTTATAAACTTTTAATACAAAAATACTAAACACCATTCATAAAACATTAGCAATCAATTTATGGGGAAATCACAGCTAGTAAAAACAGTCTTAAAAATTATATTTATATATAAATATTAACTAAATGAAATTTTTTATAATTATTTGAAATTAATTTCTTATAATTATTTTAAAAAACATATTAGTATAAAAATATAAAAAGCAACATTAAATCAACCATGGGCAGCCATGAAGCAGTGTCCTGGAAATAAAACTTAACTTTTTTTTGCAAAATATGAACAGGTTTCAAAACTAAATTTATCTAAATGTGAACTAAATGTGAAGATTAAAATTCACCTAATAGTGTCTAATAATATCAATCTGTTGTCAAAGCAACAATAAACACAGCAAATACTTGATTAAACATTTAAAAGTACAAAAGCAAATTTCAACAAAATAGCTTACAAATATTGTGTTACAAGTGTATCTTCCTATTATCTCAACCACAATCCTACCACCTCAACTATAATCCTACCACCTCAACCACAATCTTACCACCTCACTCACAAATACCAAAAAAAATCAATAGTAATTTTTTTTTTGGAAACAACATGACACTTTCAAAATGTAACTTGTATTGAACTATGATCAAATTATTAGTATTTTTTCTCTGATAAAGTTTAACAATTTTTAAATCTGATAAAACAAAAAAACAAACATACTTTTTTTAACAATTTGCAGAACAACACAGGAGAATTAATAACAAGGTTGCCTAGCAGTACTAAAAATTACAATGAAATAAAAAAAAGGATAAAGAATTGAATAAATATTACTATTTTAAATAAAACAAAATAATAATCATTAATTTTTGCTCAAAATCATACATAATACTAATAATTTAAATAACTATTTAAAAACAAAGCATTTTTATTTATTTGTAAAAGTTTTACAAATATTTAAACATTTTTTAAATAATCAGTTTTCCAAATTTTTTTCTTTTTCTGGTTAAAAGATATGGAGACTCGTGTCTCCTTATGATTAAGATATTTGTAATTTGTCTTAAAGCATGAAAAAACCCCATAAGTATCATAATTTATAAGTAATCTCAAAAAACAATATAAATTTTAAAAAAGTTTTACTTTTATGTTAATATGTTTTTTGGCTCTAATTAAAAAAAAAAATAAAATCAGATTACTTTTATTTTTTTTTTACTTTTTAGTAATTCCACTTAAAAAAAAAATTTAAAAGTAAAAAAGTTTAAAATTTATCATGCTGGTTTTAATAAAAAAGTATTCATCATATTACTAATCATAATTGTATAAAATCCAAAAAAAATTTAAATATCTAAATATGATATTCGACCGCAAATTTCATAAAACAATTATTTTTTGATCAAAATTAATCAAGAACAATAAGAAAAAAAATATTTTTTTAGTGAAAATTGTTCAGAAAGACATAAATCACATTTTTTGTCCTCCCTCAGTATCAATCATAGCTTCAAGTTAACATCTAAACCTGAAACAGGTGGTCTGGATATAATCCTAAGGTATATTTTTAAACTCCTTTTTGATGGCAGCTTTCAGGAAGTTGATACTGTTGTGGAATTGTTAACAAGCCCTTTTTTAAACTGAAGTTAAAGAAACAAAAAATTATAACGTAAATTTTTTTTATACGCTTGTCGTAATTATTAAATTCTATTTCAAAAATATGAGTTTTTATTTCATAAAGTTTCATTCAAACCTTAATATATTCAAATTTTTTTGGTTTGAACATTTACAGATAAAAGCTTCAAATAAAAAAAAATTAAAATTGCAAAAAAAAATTTTTCTTTAACAACACATTTATTAAAACAATTTAAATAGTAATTTGATTTTCTTTTTTAATTGAATAAATTGTTTTAAAAATAAAATAATAAGTAACTTTAACAAATAATTTTAGTTCAGTATTTTTTTTATAAAAAAAACTGAGCACACAGTCTAGTACTATGGAGCTTATTATTTTAATTGTTATATTCAACTTTTCTAGTACTAAAAGTTTTTTCCTAAAAGTTCCTATATTTATAACTTAAGCAACTTTTTCTTAAGTTATAAATAGGGCTTCTGACACCAGTTTCTTATTTGCATTAACTTAAAAATAATTGCATAGTTACCAGTTATGAATTTAAACAATGGGTAAAACAGCTACTTAATATCCTTATTTTCCTTGCATATCCTTAGCAATGTCAGTCTGGACAAAGCAAAACGGAAAAATCTAACTAAAAAAGAGCTGCAAGGACAATGTCAGTGTTGCAACAAAATAATTAAATGCTCAGGAAGTTTTACAACTAATTTTAAAAGTTACTTAAAAAAAGTCACCAAATTTGTTTAGATAAGGCAACAAAATCAATCATATTAACAGTGAGAAGAAATAAAAAACTGTTGGCAACTTCTTTTCACAAAAGAAGCTTCAAAATATTGTCTCTGTTTTGGATATAGATGACATTTCGATTTGAGCCATAACCAGAAATAAATGCATTTGTCAGTCAATAGCTTGAGATAGATTTAAAATCCCCGCTATCAAAAGGGATGTAATGAAACTTCTGCACAAAGATTTTGATGAAAAAAAAAAAAAAAAAGATTGACGCCATAAAATTAAAAGAAGTGAGTAAAGTTTAGCATGGCTGTCAATGAGGTTACTACTTTATGAGGACAAAGATATTTTGTTAATAATCATAATAGAATCATTTTCGTAATAATGAAAATGATTCTTTTGACAAGGACACAATTTTTGGAGTTATAAATGATGAGTATGAAGATGATATTGACTACAATGATTTACTTAAAAACTCAAGTAAGTTTATAAAATACATCAAACTGTCAAGTTTTTGAAATCAAGTTTTTTTAATCAAAAGTCAAGGCTCTACTTAGAAAAGAAATTAAACTTCTGATGCAAAAACTCGCTGAAACACAATACCAATAATGCTTGAACGATTGATAAAAATAAATACTGCAACTCAAGAAATATTATTAGAATTTAGGGCAGATTCAGTTGGTGGCAAAAAATTTCTAAAAATTAATAAACGTCCCCCCTCCCGTCTATTAAGCACCTACGACTACTCATAAATATAAATTTTTTAGCTAATAACAGCTGTTTTTAAAAATTTTAAAACAGCTGTTTTTCAGAAACTCTACAATTGACTTTGCCATAAGATCCTTTCTGACTACAATTCTGATGGTGAGCTTACTCACTAAAAGCTATTTAACCATTTTCGTTATTGAGCTTACTGGATTCAGATAAATTCCATCCTTGACAGCTTTGATCAATTAAGGAGTTTAAAATGCCTCTTTAAACTTTAAAACACTGCTAAGCTTCCTCTTAACAAAACCAATCATTAGAAAATATTTAATCACAGTGTAGACAATACTTAGAGGCTTGTTTAGGATCTTGGAATGGTGCCATTAATAGCCAGGTCAACAATTGGTTTATTTTTACATATCATTTTTATAGTTTTAAGCACATAAAATAACAAACTGTATGCCTAAAAATACCAACAGGAACATTTATTTTGAAATTACCTAACTTTTTATGAGATTTGTGCATTTCTATATCGAGCATAACACTTTCTTACTCCAGATTTTATTCTCTATCTCTATAAATCTCAAATCCAGCCTTGTATGGAATATTGATGCCATATCTGGGGCCAATCTTCTAATGATGCTCTTTCTCTTTTAGACAAGGTCCAAAACGAATTGTAAACATAGTTAGACCTGCTCCTGCAGCCTACCTCCAACCATTATCACAATGTTGTAATGTAGCTTCTCTTTCTCTTTTTTTACAAATACTATAATGGGCACTGCTTTAAAGGGCTAGTTTTTTTTTCTCAAACATCAGTTCTTTGGAATTTACTTCCTTCATCTTGCTTTCCTGATTCATACAATTTGCAATCTTTTAAGCTGTCTGTCAATTATTATCTTGCTCTACAACCTTCATCTTTACTCTTTCAGTAACTCCCAACTCTAATAATAGTTGCTTGCAGCCTTGTTGGTAAGTGAAGATGTTAAAAAAAAAAGCAAAAAAACATATAATAGATTGAAAATAAAAATGCCTTTTTATTTTATGCAGTAGAATGCACAGAAAAAAAATTACATTAAAAAAAAGTGTTTACTTTTATGTTAATATGTTTTTTGGCTCTAATTAAAATTTTATATTTAAAATGTTGATGCTTTACAGATTATACTCTGTACGTAGTTACACTTATACCCATCACCAACAATAAAACCTTATACCACTCCCTAAGTGATAATGTATTGGTTATTATTGATAACGATACTATGATCTAAAACATATAAAGTATAAAACAAGTTTACATTTGATACTGACATAAATCAAGTCTTGTCATCATTTATATTTACTAAAATAATTTTAAGTAAACAATTTTATATTTACTAAAATAAATTTAAGTGCCAGGTACTTAAATTATATTTAAGTACCTAGCACTTAAAAATTAAGACCTGGCACTTAAATTGTATATGCCTGTTGTCTGATATATATATATATATATATATATATATATATATATATATATATATATATATATATATATATATATATATATATATATATATATATATATATATATATATATATATATATATATATATATATATATGATTATATAATTATTAAAAGTTTGAATATACATCATATGATCAAAAATTATTTATAATATGTGTAAATATAAAAATTCAAAAATGAGATTACCACTATCATCGATCAAATTCTGTACATCAAGTGTTATAGTGAAGCAGTATACAGGTTGCTTCTGAAATAAAAGCTCAAAGCACATAATGCCAAAAAAAAACAATGCAATATACACAAAAAAGCAAAAATTAGAAATAATTAATTTAATATTCAATATATTTTATATTATACTTTTTATTCTAAATTAACTTAAAATATAAAGATTTTTTTTTTAACTATTATTATTTTTAATGATAAAATGGTTATATTTATCCATTAAATTTTTTCTTTACTTTTAGATATTGATTAGAAAAATTAAAAATTCTTGTGCAAACTACATCAAATAAAAAAGTTTGAGTTTCAGATTTCTGAATTTTTTTGCTCACAAAATGCAATTATTTTTTTGCATAACATTTTCTAAAGAATTCATTTAATTACTGAAAAAAATTTAGCTATTGCAAGCCTTAGGCTGTTACAGAAAAAAGATCAAATTAAAAATTGGCTGCTTGTTCTAAGCAATCAAAAAGTGAAGACTTTTTGTCAAGACAAGAGTATAAAGTTGAGATGTATTCAAATAGAGCCACTTTAGATTAAAAATTTTCATAAAAATTATTATTATAAATAATAATTAATACACGAGCAAAGATAGAACCTTGTGGTACCCTTAAAGTTACTCGAAATGAAAATGAGTGCAGGCCTTCAAGATTAACTTTAATACTGCAGCGATTTTTAGAATTGTTTGACACAATCAAGTTATCAAGTTTATGAAAATATTAACTTACCCCGTACTTGCTAATAAAAAACAATCGCTTTACTGCTAATTTTTAGTATCAACTTGTTTTTACATTAGTTTTATAAAGTAAAGAGCTTATGGATTGTAGTTTACAAAATAATGTTATTTCTCGGTAGACAAATTGCACAAAATACTTAAAAACTTAGTAATTTTAAAATCTATAAAATTACTTTGTCATAAAAAAAAAACAAAATTCGACCCTTCACAGGCCTAACAAAGAAAAATAAAAATATTAGAAATTAAAATAATTTAAAAAAATGGAAAAAAAACCTTGTTTTCAACATTTTGTTTAAGTAATTGTTGATCAAGTTCATCGTATATTTTATTTTGACAACACCAAGCTAATAATAGTTCTTGCAAATAGTTTTCTTTCTCATCTTGAACATTATAGCTACAAAATAACAAAACCTTCTAAAAATTCTTAATAAAAATATCAAAATAATAAAATAAATATATAAGTAAAATCTATACAAAAAATAAAATTTTCCAGCATTTTAATGAAACATAAGAAAATGAACATAATTTAAAAAAACATTGAAATAGAGACAATATATCAATTCATACAAAAAGAAACATTTATGCAACAAACAATTCATGTAAAAAATCAAGTGTAAAAAATCAATTTAAATTATATTTTATCAAGTATATTCAAAATGTATTTTTTGACGTTTTTATTAATTATTACTAATAAAGTTTGTTATATATTTTAATTTATTTGTAAGTATAATTTTATACAATTGTATTATATCAAATTTATTTACAGGGGAAGTTTTATGAAATAAAACTACCTATTAATGTCTGTTTCAGTGTTTTTATACTGAAACTTATGTGACATTTTATGTATATATATATATATATATATATATATATATATATATATATATATATATATATATATATATATATATATATATATATATATATATATATATATATATATATATATATATATATATATATATATATATGTATATAAGGGTGGGTTTTTTTTTAAGGAAAAAAATTTTTTTTTAAATTTTAAATCACACAACCTCTTATTTGGTGAGGTCTGTTATAAAAAGTATATAGGCAAAATTTTTTTGCAAACTGAAAATGGGAAGTGGTCCCCCAAACCCTATTTTGGAACCCTAAATTGACCAAAATTTGTATAAAAACCTAATCTTGTAATTCTATTTTTATTTCATAGAAATGCTGCTATAAATTGATCTAAAAACAAATAATATAAAGTATTATAATGTTACATAATAGAAGTTAGCACTTTGTAATTGTTAAATTTCTGTCATATTCTTTCTATTATAGTAAAAAAGTATAAAAATATTACATAAGAAGATGGCTGCTTCAAACAAAGCAACACGCTCAACTTCAAATGTTTGGCTAGTTGGACATATTCTCTCCATAATAAATAGACTGAGTCAGTTGCCAAAAAGTGCTATTGCACTATGTAGAGTTTTTTATAAAATGATAGTCAAAAAGTCAACTCTTTCAAAATCCTGCAACACAGTTGCAGATGAAGTTATGATTTTCTGGCTTAGGGCTAATATTCCAACTATAGCAAAGCCTCATGTAGTTGCTAAACTAAAGAGTTTTTACAAGCAACATGTTCAAGTGTCTAAGCACAGAAGTAGAAAATCAGCTATTCAACACAGCTATGAAGAAAAATTCACCACCAAGATGTCTACACTTTTTGATATTGCCCATAGTGAATGGGATTGTCTCATCAAGATAAATGAAGATAAACAATTTCTGATAGGCCAGAGAGGCCCCAGAAAGATGTTAATGACATTGGAAGACCTAATGTATAAGAAAGCAGTTGTAAAGTACAGAAAACGCAAGCTTGAAGAAAAAAGACACTATGAACAATATAAAGAAAATAAAGTTAAATCTACAGAAACATTGATGGATGACAATTCAGATTACTCTTTAGATGAAAATTCTGACTGTGATGCGTCAATTCAAATACAAAAAGTTTTTAATCGTCAAAAAATTTCAAAACATTCTACTATGGGTACTAGTCAACTCTCAATTACAGTATCCAAACAATGTATTCTTGATAATCAACTCTTTCATTAGACCAAACAAAAATAACACCACGACAAGCAATGATGGTTGTCACACCAGCACTAGCTGCAATTGGTATTGGTGTAAATAAATTAACATTATCACGTTCCACTTTAATAGAAGCTTGAAATACATCTCGCGAATCTTTTTCAACAGCAGTAAGAAAAGATTTTCAACCCTTGGTTCCGCTAGTTGCTCATTTTGATGGTAAAATGTTGATAGAACCAGACGTGAATGTCTGCCAATTGTTGTATCTGGCTTGGATATTGAGAAATTACTAAGGATCTCTGAAAGACCTGCTGGTACTGGTGCTCTGATGGGACAAAAGGTAGTTGAGTTCATTCATGAATGGCCTGGCGTCAAGGAGCATCTTGCAGGTCTTTGCTTTGACACAACTGCAAGTAATACAGAAAGTTATAATGGGGCAATAACTGTCATACAGAAGTCAATGAACCGAAGAGTTTTGTTTTTAGCCTGTCAACATCATATTCTTGAAATCTGTGCAAATGCAGTGTTTGATATGTTTTTTGTATCAAAAAGACCAAACATTGAACTCTTTGGTAGAGTGAAGTCCCAGTGGGAGTTAATAGAAAAACCAAAGTTTGAACCACTTGAAAGTGATACAAGCAGAACTGGATGCTTTACAAAGCTTGAAAAAGAGTGGCTTGCATCTCAAAAATCCGATGTGGTGGAAAATTTTAAAAAAAACTTAAAGGACACTCAACCACTTGATGACTATAAAGAGTTTGGGCAACTAGCTCTTCTCCTTTTGGGAGAAATTAATGATACAACAAGTATTCGCACTCCTGGAGCTTACCATCGTGCAAGATGGATGGCTAAAGGAATATACTGTTTAAAAATTTTTGGTTTTCGCCATCAATTAAATGTCACAGATAAAGAAATTGGGATTTTAAGAAGAATTTGTCTCTTCATAACCACAATTTATGTATGTTTCTGGTTTTCAGCATCTCTCACAACAGAAGCACCAAAAAATGATCTCCTTCCTTTAAAAGTAATCGAGAACTATTGTCAAGTTGACAGCAAAGTTGCAAATGCTGCAAAAAATAAAATTAAACTTCAATTATGGTATTTAAGTGAAGATCTAGCTGCTCTCCAATTATTCAGTGAAGAAATTTCTTTTGAAGAGAAAATGGAAATTGTAAATGCCTTACAAAAAGAACCATTACCAGGTGACAATAGAAGACTTGCTTCAAACAAGATTTATACATTCTCTAAACTTTCTATAGCTAACTTTGTTACACGACGCTCAATGAATTTGTTTGACTCTCTCAATCTACCAAAAGAATTCTTGACATCGTGATGACTACAAGGCTGCTTGTAAGATTGTTAGTGCCATGAAAGTGGTTAATGACTGTGCAGAACGGGCAGTTAAATTAGCCACTGACTTTAATGAAGATTTGACAAAAAATTACAATCAGCGTCAGCTTCTTTACCAAGTAGTTGAGTATCATAGAAAAAAAATTTCAACTGAAGCTACAAAGAGGTAGTTAAGCCATAATCATTCTAAATAAAAGCAATTTAATCTATTCAAATATGCATACATATAATATGAACTAAATATATAGTTAAGTACATATATGGCTATTGTTTTTCTGTAGTATTTTAATTTAGTAATATGTTAAGGTTTGATTAAATTATGTATGTTATTTTATTAGAATAATTTTAAATGTTGTTATTTGTAATATGTTTTCTTGATCCCATAAAATCATATTTTTCATTCTTTTAAAATTTTTGTTTGAGTAAATTATTTTTTGTTATTTTTTAATTTATAAATTTGAATTAGGGCTGAGTTAGAAATGACTGGTAGAGGGGCATATGGGGATCTAGTTTGGGGCATATAGGCCACTAGTACTCACAATTTAAAAAATTGAAGAAATGTTAAAAAATAAGAATCTTTTTTAAATTGTTATAACAGCTTTTTGTATTTTTACCCCCCTTCCCTTTGCCCCAAGTTACCTCTGCCTCATACATTCATACATTTGTCTTCACCCTAATAAGTAAAATTATTGCATGTAGCACTGACAATAGTTTATTCTAATGCGTTTTAAAAAATTATCATTTTCAACAAAAACAGGCCTCAAAAGGGCTTAAAAAACATGTCTGGGTCCTAGTGCCCTGAGGGTGGGGTCTAGGGATTTGTCACTGCTAGATACATTATTTTTATTGTTATCACCCTAATAAGTAAAACTGATGGATGTAACACTAATACAAGCTGATTTTAATAGATTTCAGAAATATATTATTTTAGAAAAAATGGATCGCAAAAGAGCTTTGAAAACAGGTCTGGGACCTTGCGTTCCTAGGGTGGAGTCTGGGAATAGGTAATTGCTATATACATTCTTATAATTTTTTTAACCCTAATAAGTGAAACTGATGCATTTAACACTGATACTTATTGATTTTAATACATTTTAGAAATATGTCATTTTGGTCAAAAACGGGGTTTTAAAGGGCTTACAAAGCAGGTGTACCACTTCCCATCATCAGTTTAGAAAAAAATTTTATCAGTTAACTTTTTTTATTGAACCTCACCAAATAAGAGAGTGTGCGATATCAAATTCAAAAAAAAAAAAAAAAAAAAAAAACACCCTAATGTATATATATATGTATATATATGTATATATATATATGTATTACATATATATGTATATATATATATGTAACATATATACATATATTACAAAAAAATAAATCTACCTTTTTAACTTTAGCGGGGTTTTAAATGGTGAACTTTCTTCAATCTTTATATCCGGAACTGTATATGAGCTTTTGTATGTCTCTTTTGCATAAGGAACGACTGTACATGGGATTTTGCATGTCTTATTTATCTCAGGTACAACAGCATTTGAGCTTTTGCATTTCTTAATTATATCAGGACTAACTGTATATGAGCCTTTATGTCTTGTATTTATATCAGGATAAACCACATTTAAGCTTTTGCTTGTCCTTTTTTCCTTAGAAACACCTGTATATGAACTTTTGAATGTTTTATTTAGATTACCACAAAATGCTTTTGCTGAAACTTTTTTTGTTGACATAACTGGAACTATTACTGAGTTAAAACTTGGCTTTTTCAAAGCAGCTTTACATAGTTGGCTAAAACTTTCCATTGGAAGATCTGGAAATAATGTATCTGGAACTGATGCTTCATCTTGCATCTCTTCCTGTATTTTGCGTTTTTTAATTTGAAATACATTATTTGGCTTGTTTGATGGATTTTGATGAGGTCGATCTTCAAAAAGTTTGCGAGAAACCACCCCAAACTTATGAAGTTTTTTATTTGTATTATCAAGCTCAACTGGGTCAAATTGAATATTACTGTTTTTATTTTCCAAAAACTCTTCGTCAAAAAAATTGAAATTGGGACTAAAATCTGACATTTTAAAATACTTTGATCTAAAGCACAAATCGAAATAAAAGATATAATTTAATATAGTTGTACAACCCTTGTTTATATTTGTAAAAATAATTTAGTTATTAATCAAAAATTTAATTACTGATAACTATTTTTACTCCATATAATTTCATATTTTTATGTCATAATTGTGATATTATTTAGTCAAATTAACAAGATTATTAACTCTTATTTTTACAACTGAAAAACTTGCAATCACAAAACTTACAGTTTATATTATAATTGTAGATTTTTTTTTGGCTTCTATGATTTTTCTGTTGTATAGAGGACTTATACAAGTTATAACTAAAATTATTTTTGAACCCACAAATGCAGTAACTTAATTTTAAAATACTTATAACTTATATTAATATCTGCAAATTTTAATTCTCTTTTTTATTTGACATCATTATCACACAGTAAGCAAAATCATTATTAGCGTGAGGAAAGTTAAAAACTTTAAAAAACTTTTTTTATAATTACAAGGTTGAGTATTTTTATAATAGCAATCTAGTGGCTTTATTAAATTTATTTAAGTTTATTTATTAAGTTTATTTGGTTACTAAGGACACCTGAACTAAATAGCAACAGCGCATTTTTGCATATTAATTAAGCTTAAGAAACTTTATTTAAAAAAACACTTGAAATTTTAAGTCAACTTTCATTTAAAATTTAAATCTAAAACGGTTTTAGATTTAAATTTTTAATGAAAGTTAAATGATAATAAGCTATAAAAAATTTGTTATAGCTAATTATCATTTGTTGTTGCTAACTTATAAACCTTATAAACTTATAATTAATAACTTTATGAAATTTATTTTGTTTTGTGAATAACTACATATTCTCACTTGCTAGCTTTTATTGCAATGTTTTTACTATTTTCACAGTCCTATTGTGCATAAGTGAAACAACTTATGACTTAATATGACATTGTTAAAAATTTGAGCAAACCTAAAATGTTTTTCATACTTTTAATTAAAAATAAAAAAAGATTGATTTGGGATGGCATTAGATATTTTGGATATTTATTTTTGCAAAATTGTATGTTTAAATATTTTGTCTGAAACTAATATTACATTTTTTAACCAATTTTTAATAATGAACAAACTTTATCTAAGTTTAATTTAGCTGAATATTATGGTCAAATGTTAAACTTCAATTAAATTTGTTGTAATTTCAAAGGATTTTTACAAATAGTAAAAGTACTTATTTAATGTAAAAGCCTATATAACAATATAGACAACTATTTTACAATTAATAATAGTAATATATTTTTTTATTGTTATTACTATTGTTGCTATTACAATAATAATAATAATAATAAGTAATAATAATAGTAATAGTAAGACCTGGCTTGAATACCTGAAATAGGATCTAAAAAATTTCTTAGTATATATTAATAAGAGTTTCAAAATTAGTATTAGAAACTTAACGTTTCATTTGATTTACACTTTGTTAATACAAAGTTCTTGAGTTCGTATAAAAAAAAGATAAATTTGAATCTTATTTAAAATCCAATATTGAATCTACTTAATGGTGATATTCTGAATGATTTTTGAACAATATGAGCTAAAACTTATGCGTTTATTGGTTTTCGATTGCCTTGGTTTAAAAGAGATGATGAATGAAGTGATTCAGTTTTACTAGTATTTAGTGAGAATTTGTTTGAGTGAAGCCAATCAACTAAATTAAATAGATTATGGTTAATGTAGTTTTGTTATTTTTTTTAAGAATTTATTGATTAATAGCAAGTTGGCATCATTAGCAAATTGTTAAGAAGTTAAAAATTTAATATAAGATCATAAATAAGAACAAGGAAAAGAAATGGTCCAAATACAGAGACTTGAGGTACACCATTAGTGTATTTAATAACAAATAAATTAACAGATTAAAATTGAGTTCCTATTATAAAGTTATAATGCGAATTACTGGAGAGAGATATTCTTAATACTCAGCTATGTAATTTACTCAGGAGAATAGAATTACTCAACAGAATCAAATACTTTCTTTATATCAAAAAACACACTAAGTACTTACAAGAAAATATTATTTTTTAGACCTTTCTTAAAAAACTCAATAAATCAACAAGTGCATGGGTTGTAAAACTCTTGCTTCAAAAACTTCACTGGTATTAGTAAAAGCATTAATATTTCCAAAGAAAGTGGTTTATGTATAGCTTTTCCGAATATTTTTATCTCAGGTGAAGTGGGAATAAAAAGCTGGGTGGGATTTTTTGTCTGTACCTAATAAATGAGGGGGAGGGATGATCTCAATAAAAAAGGCGGGTAGAAATTTTTATTAATATCACTGAAATGTTCAAGTTTTTTAAGCCACTTAACACTAAAATTTTTATTTTAGTTTAAAGAGAGTTTTTTGTTGTTGATAACAATTAAAAATTAATAATCAGGAAGAGGGGGGTTAATAAGCTAGGGGTGGGCCAGAAAATTTTTATTAATATCACTGAGATGTTTAAGTTTTTTAAGCCACTTAACACTAAAATTTTTATTTTAGTTTAAAGAGAGTTTTTTGTTGTTGATAACAATTAAAAATTAATAATCAGGAAGAGGGGGGTTAATAAGCTAGGGGTGGGCCAGAAAATTTTTATTAATATCACTGAGATGTTTAAGTTTTTTAAGCCACTTAACACTAAAATTTTTATTTTAGTTTAAAGAGAGTTTTTTGTTGTTGATAACAATTAAAAATTAATAATCAGGAAGAGGGGGGTTAATAAGCAAGGGGTGGGCCAGAAAATTTTCCAAAGAGTAAACTAATGTCTCCTCCCATGTGTTAAGTACCTTAGAGTACCTATGTTTGACAAAAGAGATAACAGTTGATAATTGATGTGGTTCCCTTTTTATAGAGTGGAATAACTTAAGCCATTTGAAAGACCTCTGGATGGAATTTAAAAAAAATTATTCATCATTGTGCAGAGAGACTTGGATATAAAATAGGAATAAAGTTTGGAAAGAAATGTGGGAACACTGATTTTCAGGCTTTCGGTCACTGGATCAATGAACGAGTTGTTATTTAATTTATTAAATAGTCTGTAAAAAATTAATTTAGAGGTAGCAGTTTTGCTTTACTTAGTAGTTACTGAATATTTACTAAGTAATGTTAAATTGTTTGATACAACTTTTCCACCTGAAATCATATTGTCAATCAATTTGAGAATAAAAGATTTATTGGGAGAAGAAGAAGCTTTGATGTCAATATCTTTTATTCCTTTTAATTTATTTTTAATATATTCAAGGTTAAGTTAAAAAAAAAGATTTTTATAGAAAAATTTTTATAAGTTGCTAATTTTATTTAAAATTAAATTTAGCGAGAAGTTGATTTTTAGTGTTGAGATAATTTGATTTTATCTCTTTTTCTATATTCTATTTTTAACAGATATAAGAATTCCATTGGTGTTATATGGTTTTGATTGAAGTTTTTTGATTTTATGTTTATATGTTACATAGTTTTGATTGAATTTTAATATGTGTAGCAGTTTGTTTAGCAATAGGTCTTAAAGGAAATTTGGAGTTAAGCGACCTAAAATAATTCTTTTATTTTCATTTTTTAAAAAAACGGAGAAGAGTGTAAAAACACATATCAATAAACTAATGTTAATAAGTGATAAAAACAATTATTTATAATGATGGTTTATATATTAATAGCAGTATTAGTTATTATTGTTAATAAAAAAACTCTTATAATACAAATTATAATATATTTATAATAAATACTTTAGGATACTTTAAAGTCTCTACGAATGAGAGCGAGAAAAAAATATATATTTTAGGCCGCCTAACTGCAGTCTTTGGTACTAAATGGTGCTAGAAACATTGAAAATTAACAGTAAAAAAAAATCCATCTCAAACTTACATTTACATAAATAGTTAGTAATTTAATAGAAGTGGAATGTTTAATTTGCAATTTTTGAAATGCAAATTATTGTTTATTATTTTCGTTTGATTATTTTCTAACGGAACAACGTTTTTTTTTTCCGTCAGACGAAGTTTGACGAAAAAAACTAGGGATGCACCCCGATACATCGGCCTCGGCATCGGTCTTGGTAACCATCGGCCAACGCTAATTGTTTAAAAAGTCAGAATTTTTAATTTTGCGTTTCTACATTGTATAAAATATAATAATTATATTTTTTTTTACAATATTAAAAAGAAAACAAAATTAAAAAGACTCATTTTTCAAAATAATCGTCATCGGCCTTGATAACCATTCGCTGATGCCGATTGTTTAGAAAAATGAGTCTTTTTAATTTTATGTTTCTATACTGTATAAAAAAATATAATTATAATATTTTTTTATACTATATAGAAACAAAAAAATTGAAAAATCTGATTTTTTTAAACTATCGGCACCAGCCGATTGTTACCATGGCCGATGCATCGGTGCATCCCTATTTTAAACACTTTAAACGTCAGGTTTTGTAGCGGGAAAAATTTTGAATTTATAAACTTGTTATGATTTTTTCTTCATGTTTTTTTTTTTTTTAATATTCATTAATTTTCATGTTTTTTCTTCATATTTATTGGAAATGCAAAACAAGTGATGGATACACAACAAAATTTAATAATCAAAGACCAGGTTTGTAGTATTTTTTTTTAATATTAAAATACTTATAATAACTAATCTTTTGATGTTTTTAATTAGTGTTTGAAAACAAAAGTTACAGTTAAAAATAAAACTTGATAGCTCAAGCACTGTTTCAGCTATCAAGTTTTATTTTTAACTGTAACTTTTGTAAACTAATATCTATATTTTATATATAGATAAGTACATTTAAAAAGTATATTAATACTATATATATATATAGTTTTTAAATGTACTTTAACAATATTTTTAATCATTTAGAGTTGAATTATTTTAAATTATGTCTCTCCGTTCTTATTGCCGCCAATATTAAAGTTTTTTCCTACATTTTTTTATATTTAAATAAATTTTTAAATTTTTGTTTTGAATCAAAATACGATTTCAAGTCCTTTAGATGGATAA